ATAAGTTATATAATAGTTGCTGTATCCATCGGATGGAAGATGAATTGCCTTCGAAAACGAATTTTGTTTCAAGTCGATATCTTAGTTCCTGAGATACTACTTCCTATTCCACGTGTCCCTAGACTTACAAGGCCATGTACATCGAAGTGGATGAGCCCTAATAGTCTCTTAGTGCTTATTCTAGATTCTCAAAACGAAAGTTAAGTTCATCCTCTTATCCCTTTCCGTTGACTTCTTCAGCTTCCCGTAGCTTAAGTAACCCAGTGTCTTGTACCATTCTTCTAATTTTCTTTTCTAACTCACTAACAGTACCCTTACTGCTATGGGATCTATCATACTTCCTTCTGTATATAGTGCAAACCACTTTTCTGTCTCTGGCTCACAAGAATTTTCTCCTCGTCTTTGCATATTATTACTTCATATTGTCTAACTATAACTTCTCCATCCTTTTGTGTAATTTCATCAACCAAGCTGAGATTCCGTCGTAGATTTGGAATATACAGGGTGTTCGGCCACCCTTGGGAAAAATTTTAATGCGAGATTCCAGAGGCTAAAATAAGACGAAAATCAAGGATACTAATTTGTTGATCGAGGCTCGAATTTTTTTCTCGAAAGTGCGTAGGATTTCGGGGGTATGTCTACTCACCAAAAATGATTATAATTGATTCCTGTAACCGAAAATAATTTTTCCAAAACGATTTGAAATTTTTTAATTCTGTCAAAAAATTTGTCCACCTACTCGAATTTTTTTCTCAAAAGTGCGTAGGAATTCGAGAGTATATGTATTCACCAAAAATAATTGTAATTAACCCTCCTATCTAGAAATAATTTTTTTGGAACGATTTGGAATTTTTTTTTCGCCGAAAAATTTCAGCACCTACTCGAATTTTTTTCTCGAAAATACGTAGGATTTCGAGGGTATGCCTCAATAATAATCAAGAACCTAAGAAGTGGAGGGGATTACGTGGATTAGTTTGTTGGTAATGTACCATCATTTTAAAGTCATCATCAATTTCTACTTTTTTCCAGTTGTCAAAACACTTCAGTTTATTTGCTATACGACTGTTTGTACCCGAATCTAATATCCATTCTTCAGAGGTATCACTTCCTACCAAAAAACATATTCTCTGTTTCTCTTATTTTCAATTATCTTCTTTCGTTTGAAAACTACTTGAAATAGTCCTTTTCTGTATTTATTCAACTTCTTCCACATCCCATAACTAGATATGCAAAACGTAATGTGAATCAACAGCTCGTCCTCAATTGTGAACATAATTAAGTTTTACGTTTTAATATATTAGGTTGGGGAAAAAGAAATCCATTATTTTTGCGTGAACTTCAAGACTTTATTTAACATGTTTCGGATTTTCCGATTTGGGTCAAATATGCGCCGTTTTGTTCTATTATTTATTGCCATTTTAAAGGTAGCTTTATAATGCCTCTCTCATAGAAATCTTGGTCCTTATTGGCGAAAAACTCTAGTAACCGATTTTCACAATATTCTCTTGATGCCAATTTCTTATCACTCAGGTAGTTTTGCAATGCGAGATAAAGATGGTAATCACTTGGTGCCAGGTCCGGACTATATGGTGGATGCATTAAAACTTCTCAACCAAGCTCCCGGAGTTTCTGGCGAGTCACTACAGACGCGTGTGGCCTAGCGTTGTCCTGCTGGAACACAACACCTCTTCTGTTGGCCAATTCTGGCCGTTTCTGGTCAATCGCTAGCTTCAAACGGTCCAGTTGTTGACAGTAGAGATTCGAATTTAGTGTTGGGCCATATGGAAGGAACTCATAATAAATGATTCCTTTCCAGTCCCACCAAATGCATAGCAGAACCTTCCTGGCCGTTAGTCCTGGTTTGGCCACCGTTTGAGCTGCTTCACCGCGCTTTGACCACGATCGTTTTCGCACAATATTGTCGTATGTGACCCATTTCTCATCCCCAGTCACCATCCGTTTAAGAAATGGGTCGATTTCATTCCGTTTGACTAAGGCTTCGCAGATGGAAATTCAATCCATCATGTTTTTTGGTGTTAATTGGTGTAGCACCCAAACATCGAGCTTCTTTTTGAATCCAGCTTTGTGCAAATGGTTTAAAACTGTTTTATGGTCGATCTTTAGCTCCTGGGCGATGCTACAACTACTAACATGTCAGTCAACTTCGATTATTTCTGTAATTTTATCGACATTTTCGACGACGGACCTGCCTGTACGAGGTGCATCTTTAGCATCAAAAATACCTGAACGGAATCGACGAAACCAAAATTGCACGTAATTAGCCGTTACAGTATAGGGACCATAAACACTATTTACAATTTCAGCCGCCTGGCTTGCATTTTCGCCTTTATCAACGAAAAACTATAAAATGTACCGAATTTTCTTTTTCTTGACTTCCATTTTTAACACCCTGTAACTCACAACTGAATAGACCAAATAAAAAACAACAAAAGAAATTTTTTAGTGTGAAATGTCACCTTGCAAAGAGCATAAATCTAAAATTGTTTGATCGATACTTTACGAGATATCGATCACTACAGACATCTACCGACAAAATAATGGATTTCTTTTTCCCCAACCTAATATGTATCCAATCATTCGTATATTCATTTGTATCTTTTAGTCTCTCAATATTTCCCATTTCTTCTTTTAATCTGCCATTTTCTTCTATCTTTTTCCTTTTTTCCACTACTACCTGTTTCTTTTCCGAATGTTAGTGTCTGGAATTTTTGAAAAAAAGAATATTCGATATTTCTGCAGGATTTTTTTGTATTATGTAAAATAACATTACACGTATAAATATGACGAAAACTATGTTAAAGTGTTAAATACAAGTATTTATACACTTATGTATACTCGAATACTTACATTTTTAGTATTCAAAGAATAAAATACAGTTACCTACTTCCACTCGTCTTCGTACACTATAACGGCGATACACCATAAATGAAAGAAAACTTGTTTCGTACGGATTAAGCTGTTGTTTTTGAAACTGGTCTATTTTTTCATACATTGAGGTATTCAAGGGTTTATATTTGAATAAATTAAAAGTAAAATTTGTAAGCGATTATGCCACGTTGGAAACATCGATTCTCGCGTATTGTTGGCATTATAATTGCATTAAATTGTTTATATTTTACTTCTCTATCGGCTTTGTAATTGGGTATTATTGGCTGTTAATTTAGTATTAAAAAAAAAATTAGTTCGTAAATAGAAGTAACACAGTGTAATAAACAACATTTGGTGAAAATAAATGGAAAGAATTCCACAAAAAACAAAGTTTCTTTTCATTTATAATGAATCACACGTAGTGTACGAATACAAGTGAGAGTAAACTATATGTATAGTAAACTGCGAAGCATTTAAAATTACATATATAACAAAGGATAGGTTTTAAGATTGCAAAATTAAACTGATATTGAAGTGATGAAGTATTCCAAAGGGTATAGCCGAATAAGGGGGTCAAATGTGCCCCCAAACCGAATTGAACGAACGTCATTCGATAGCTTATCAAAAAAAAAACCCTATGTGCCAATTTTTAACTTGAAATCTCGATCGTGGGAGTAGTAATGGGGTGAAAACGAAAATCATGGTTTTGTACAATTTCTCTTGATCTATTGAGTAAGAAAATGTAAAAAAATTCAGAGACATTTCGGGTGCCGGGGTACATATTTTCGGAGATTTTCAGATTTTTTGATTGAAGAACCAGGTAGTAAAAAATAAAAAACCGCAAAAAATGTCGAAAAATGCGGATTATGTATTGAAGGAGGTCCGGAGCTACTTTTATACTTTTACAGTAAACAGGTATTTCTATTACTACTATTCTCAATTTTTTTCAGTTTTTTCATTTTGGTGCGCCGCAGTGAAAAAAAATAAAAACCGATTTTTTCCTCATTTTCTGCGTATTAGAGTAACTTACACGATGAATTTTTATGCATTCTCCAATATATGAGTATTTTGTAGACTGTTTAATGTTTCTACACTAAGCAGAATTACATAACAATTGAAAGAAATAAAATAAAGCCAACCGTTGAGCGCAATATATCCAAAAAATCAATTCTGTTTAGTGTAGAAACATTAAACAGTCTACAAAATACTCATATATTGGAGAATGCATAAAAATTCAACGTGTAAGTTACTCTAATACGCAGAAAATGAGGAAAAAATCGGTTTTTATTTTTTTCCACTGCGGCGCACCAAAATGAAAAATCTGAAAAAAATTTAGAATAGTAATCCGCATTTTTCGACATTTTTTGCGGTTTTTTATTTTTTACTACCTGGTTCTTCAATCAAAAAATCTGAAAATCTCCGAAAATATGTACCCCGGTACCCGAAATATCTCTGAATTTAAAAAAATTTTTTTACTGAGTAGATCAAGAGAAATTGTACGAAAACATGATTTTCGTTTTCACCCCATTACTACTCCCACGATCGAGATTTCAAGTTAAAAATTGGCACATAGGGTTTTTTTTTTTGATAAGCTATTGAATGACGTTCGTTCAATTCGGTTTGGGGGCACATTTGACCCCCTTATTCGGCTATACCCTTTCTGAACAGAGTTGTGCCATAAGTGTCGTGTTTATGTGAATATACTAACAACTGTCTTCGAACCTAAAAATTCGCAGGAATTTTTTCAGCTTGAGAAATTTTCCGTAGAAGCGTCTTAGTCAAAAGTTATTCTGTAGCTGGAACCTTTTCTTTCGCTTCAATCGAACCTCTTTAAAATTAAGATTACCTCAATTTTTTAAAACTCTTTAAAAATATATCTTTGTATACGCCAATTATTGTATTTCATTCGTGCGAGACGAGATAGGCTTGAATTCGAAATAAAAATCGCTACCTGTTGGTGGTTCTGATTTTGACATCCGAAAGAATTACTGTATTTTTGGGAATCTTTATACAATCGTAAAACTATTAATCATGAAGTCTTATGTTTATTAACGGTTTTCGTATTTGTTCTCAATGTATGTTGATGTTTGTCATTGATTCTTTGCCAACAGGAGGAAGAAAGTGACGAAGAAGCGATTACGGCACAGCCACAAAGTGGTCCGCAGAACAGCTCTGCGACTCAGCCCATTTTTGCCATGCCACCACCACCAACTGCTGATGAAAATACAAACTTGAACAGCGGTACTGAAAGAGTGATTTACACGACTGGTATTTCGAGTACTTGAATACTAACGCACATTATCTATTCGGTCACTATTTTTGTTATTCAGTTTTATCTTTAATTGCGTATTCCTCCCTTTATCCTCTTTTGTTTTCTTAATGCCGCGCATCTGATCGAGACTCACGTTGGTTTAATAATAACGTAGACATTAAGTGCTTTAAAATTTCACATTATTACGTCTCTAATGATGTTGCAAATTTAAATGTCGGATTCCTTGAAACTAGATTTTCAAATTGTAGATTACACGAATAAGTTAAAAGGAGAATAAGACAAATTTTATAAGATTTTAACGCTTGGAAAAGTATATTTTGCTACACTTTTAAGCAGTAGTAACGCGTTAGTTTTGAAATAAAAGCGTGGCGGTCAAATTCAATATGTTTATATAATATTACAAATTGGTGGTCATAACTATCGAAACTTCCAAACAAAACACTACTAACATATTTGAGGAAGTAATTTTTTTTTTTAGTGTGATAAGATTTCTAACGAATCTTTGCACAAAGAGATACTAGGCCATTTTCAGTTAAACATTGCATAGATGTTTTCAACAATTGCAAGTTGAAAGTGCTTCAGGAGTGTGCATCGACTTCTGGTCTTTGTGTTTTGTAGAAACCATTTGACACAGAAAGTTCAAAGTAGCTCTTGAAAAAAAATTATGACCGCTTTAACTTGTGAATCGTTTCGCTCTTATGGATAAAGTTTTCTAAAACATAGTAATACGCTTTTCTTAGTTGATTTTGCATTTTTGCTGTAATTTTGCGACTTTTTTTTTATTAATTTTATGATTGGTAGTAATTTGGAATGTTCAGAAACGTTGTATTTAAAAGAATTCGTTCTTGTATTATCATAAAAAAAGTTGTGTCTTGCATCATGTATAGAAACATATTGCTGACTAGAAGTTTAGAATCTCTACGCAGTCTGTGTTATTTCTACAAAAAATGTAAGCAATTTTAAATTAATTAATTACTAGTACGACATACACTTTCATCCATAAGTCACCGGTACTTGGTTGCCCGGTTTTACTTTCTTTAAGTTATTATTTTATTGTAAAATTTATAACTCGTATCAATAAATAAATATAAAATAAGTGCGATTGTACGTGTAAATAAATTTCCAAGTATGAATATATCTAAAATCAAAGTACTTGTGGAAAATATTACAGGAAGGTTGGAATCAAATTGGACCAGAATTACCGAAAAGAATTAATCAATAAAATGTTCCGATTAGTTCGCACGATCATTCTTAAAAAAATATTTTTAAATATGATTGTAATCTGTAAAAAGAATGTAATATTGTTCACTAACATTTTGGTAAAATCCCTATTATTCAATATACAGGGTTTTCCTGAATAAATGTTGATTCCTTATGGAAGAATAAGAGAAACAAAAAGAATGAAATTTTTTTTATTTCGGCTTAGTTTTTGAAATAATCAAAATTTGAAAATTCACTCTGTGCAAATCGTATCTCAGTGCGTATAACACACAGCGAATTTTTAAACTCGATTATTTCGAAACCTAAGCTGAAATAAAAAAAATTTTATTCTTTTTCTTTATCTTATTTTTTCATAAGGAATCACCTCCCGTTCGCTTATAGATATTATTCGGGAATACTCTGTATTTACATTTCCTCTATATCGCAAAGAACAAGTAAAAGTTAATTTTATTTCATCAATTCATTTTCATATCCGCATCTACTAACAATAAGTGTTCGGTGACTTATGGTCAGGACTGTAACTGATTGTATCTTCCTCCATTTTAAACTTTTTTTGTCGAATGATTCATGCAACAACTAACAAATTGTTTTATCAACAAAAAATCGGGGGTCTTCTACGATGTTTGAAAAAATTAATTTTTATTTTTTTTTTTCAATTTTTACAAAGAACATATTTGCAAAAGTTTATGCTCGGATTCCTAAAAATAATGAAATTACAGCTGATCAACCTCATTTTTATAGGGATACAAAACTTTAAACATTCAAATTTATGTTTACGGAGAGGAAATAGCCTTCCAAGTGGGGGGGAAAAAAATCTGTTAAAAACAAATATGTTAAATACAAAAATTACTTGCTTTTTTGGAATTATATGGTGTGACTAGAATTTTTGACAGATCGTAAGTGTTGTTTAAAAAATTTTGTAACCAATTAACATTTTTTCGTAAGAATTTGTTAATGCATGTAACACGTCGATAAAATAAACACATTTTCTCCCAAATTTTTCCAAGTAATTTGATAGTAGAGAATAAATATTAATTTATGAAACTGTTACTCGTTTGGGACTGACAATGAATATTTGAGCTGCAAGCTAGTGTAATTAACATTAGAGGATTAATTCTTCGTTTGGAAAAATTATTCTCAAGTAACACGCCATTCCTACAACCGTGGATGATTAAAGAGACAAAGAAAATTATTTAGAAATTATGTATACACATAGTGTACTTTCATAAATATTTCTAATCGGGCTTGTATGATTCACTGATGGACAAAATTATATGAAATATGCAAAACGTATTCCAAACTTCTGATCCAAGCATGCAGATTAGAGATGCCATGTTCATATAAATCTGTACTTACAGGTAATTTTATAACATTATCGAAGTCATTCATTATTTTTGGCTAGGCTAGGCAGTCCAAGTTCTTTGTTGAGTTTGGTCTTCTTACAAGCTTCCTTGATCTCTTCGTCCGATGTAAGTTTGATTCCCGGACCCTGCTTTGCTTAGTGGCTCTGGTACAAATTGAGAACACTTCTGTTATATTTTGTAATTATAATGAAGTGATATTTAATACACTTTAGACTTTAGACAAAGATTCGATGATGTATTTATAACTCAGCTGATAAAACAAAAGCGATGTGTTGGATAAAGCTAAATATCCGACCAGTTATAGATCGCATAACAGAGTACACAGTAGTTGCGATTATGACTAATAGGTGTCACGATTAGTCCGATTACAAGTTTCTCACCGCTTGGTGAGGACATGGTGAATCAACATGGCGGCCTTATAGGGTCTGCCTCGGTTTGCCTCAAACGTCATTTTCGACCGTTAACACGTTCACTGCTAGATCAAAATCGTATAATATTCTACAAGACTAAAATTTTGATTTTAATAAAATGAATATAATGAATTTACAGGTACAAAAAATTTACATTAACTTGCAGTAATATTTTTGATATTTATTTTAGTATTTCAGTTGAATATGAGAAATCTTTGTTTAGCTAATCATTAATAACGTTCTAAGAATATATTTTCTGTATAGGAATAACGAACCCATTTTTTGTTTCAATTTTATTTTGAGTTATCAAATAACGACGAAATTGATTGAGATTTGATATGCTATATTAGATACAAAATAACAGTTACACTTAATGGCTTCGAACCAGGTCGAGAGCCCGAAAACCGGAAGTCTCAAAATATACATATATCATATCACTATGAGGTACTACAACCGGGTCAGCTGAGGTCGCTTTTTTTGGGGAGTTCAAAACAAAACTTTACAACAAATTTAACAGCAAAATTGTTTAATCTAGTTGTTAATTTTTTCAGTTTTTCAGGAGAATCGCGGATTTTTTCATATATTTTCTCCTGTAGTACAAGGATTAAGTCTCCATTTGTGCAAAGATCTTCCATATTTGTAATAAATAAATTAAATTTAAGTAGCTAAGGAAGAAATGTAAATATAAAAAATAATTTATGCAGAGGATTTGTAAATGTTTGCATACTCATCAAAGACAGAATGAAGTACAACAGAACTTAAAAATGTTTAATAAAAGTATTTAACTAAACTATTCAACTATATAAATTACTAATGACAAAAAATAAAAGTAGTAACGATAAAAATATAAAACTACGCTATATATTGGTTTGATGCAAAAGTTAGCATTGCGTCATAAAACCGAAGTATCTACTTCACACATGTAAAGTTTTGACGTTGTTTGACAAAAGGAATTTCAGCGACTATTTGGGAGACAAACTGTTTCTCCTTTTCTTTTTTCTGTTACGCGTCGAAAATATAATATAGCTTCTCGAGAGTGAAGAAAAAGACAAATTCTTGTTTTCTTTTATAATTTCGATACGGAATATTACCCCTACTATCAAAAGTTGTTCTATCTCGCTGTGCACGCTTAATGTGATGATTAATATATTTTCGTTTAACTGTAATGCTTATAAACTTTATTCAGTTTTATTATCAGTTATTTAATAATTTCGTAATTTACTTCCGTTACGAGAAAGCCATTACGTTAAAACATCAAAAGATATTGATGTGTTCTGTTTATTCTTGATAAGAAATAAAGCTAACTTTAAGTTTCGTTATAATTTTTTTTACCTGCATTTTATCCTTTCCTTGCATTACTTTATTGAATCGGTAATTATTTACTTTAGCGATTCCTCATCAATTTCAATGACCTTGAAATATGTTGTGAAGGTTACTGTTATGAAGATTTTTTCTCTATACATATAACTGCCGCTCGGCCTTAGTTTTTGAGATTTTTTTTCAAAAAGATCGCTGCTACTACTATGAATGCTATGAATTCTATCCATACGTAGGTAAGTACTTACGTGACTGTGGCAACGTATGTACAGGGTGTCCCAGCTAAAGTGTGACAGTCGCGATACTGCAATAACTATTGATGATACGGAAAGATTGTTTATATGAAAATTGCAGGATAAAATAGAATCTTTATTCTGGCGTAAACGGAAATTTTATTTATGTTATTAATTTCAAAGATACGATGATGAAGTTTCGTTTTTTAAATGGAGCTATATATTTTTTTTTGGATCATGCGATAGTGTTTTTCAAGACGAATTCATTAACCTGCAATTTATTTACCCGATTTTCATTAGTTTTCAAGATATAGCGCTTGGAAATTTACTGATTTTCGGCGAAGACGTTTCGGCTTGAGTGGCAAGTCATAAAAGCGGCCCTATTGTTGCGCTGTTTGACTCCGCCTGTTGAAACCGATAGCAAGGGTCTACGCTCGGAACGGCAGGCCCGAAGAGTCAGAAACATGAAAAGTATTGCCCATCACGATTTAAGTTTGTCGCATCGAGGATGGTGATGTCGCTAATAATTTGGATGATTGGAACATTTATTTAAATGTTTCAGCTGAATTTTATTATACAAAAAATTTATTCTACGTGTCTCCTGCTATTCGAAATACATGTTTCAATTCGTTTTACAAGTTTCTTTTCCACGTTCATTAGAATGTCCGTTGGAATATTTTCACACACAGCTTTAAGTCTGCAGTGCTTTGTAGCGGTGTTTTATAACTCTTGTTGTATGATGGAAAAACTTGGACCTTGCCAAACATAAATAATACATCTATTACATAAATAAATGTTCCAATCATCCAAATTATTAGCGACATCACCATCCTCGATGCGACAAACTTAAATTGTGATGGACAATACTTTTCATGTTTCTGACTCTTCGGGCCTGCCGTTCCGAGCGTAGACCCTTGCTATCGGTTTCAACAGGCGGAGTCAAACAGCGCAACAATAGGGCCGCTTTTATGACTTACCACTCAAGCCGAGACGTCTTCGCCGAAAATCAGTAAATTTCCAAGCGCTGTATTTTGAAAACTAATGAAAATCGGGTAAATAAATTGCAGGTTAATGAATTCGTATTGAAAAACACTATCGCATGATCGAAAAAAAAATATATAGTTCCATTTAAAAAACGAAACTTCATCATCGTATCTTTGAAATTAATAACATAAATAAAATTTCCGTTTACGCCAGAATAAAGATCCTATTTTATCCTGCAATTTTCATATAAACAATTTTTCCGTGTCATCAATAGTTATTGCAGTATCGCGACTGTCACACTTTAGCTGGGACACCCTGTATGTGTAAGCGTTGAATCGCCGATTATTTATTGTTTCGATAGATACATCGAGGCGACCGGCAATGGGTGCGTATAACGGATATGTTTAAAACCTCAATTTGAGTAGCCGGTCGCCCAGCAGCGGCTGGCATAGAAAAATTTGAGCCAGACCTTTATCCCATACCTAACTATTCTACCTAGTATAGTCCGGACCACGATATAGCGATGTCGTAAACTCGAGTAAGTGTCAAAGTTTACACGTTTCAGCTCCCGAAACAACTGAATTGACAGAAATACGAGCAGTTAAGGGCTTTAGACCATAGTCAGCGCCGTACGAAGAAATGTTTTATCTAGTGTCGCCATTTTTAGAGGCATCGTAACGGGTAAAGGTCTTACTCAAGTCTTTAATATATTAATTTACCTACTTATAATATATACATGATGAAAATGAAAAAAGATAGTGCAGCTACGGACACAGAAAGACATCCAGAAAGGCACCCTCAAGCAAGATGTCATGTACGGCCCTAAGTGCCGCAGAAGTACCTAGTCGGTCCCAACCCTCAAGAGTTTAATTTACGATCTTGCTATATCGTGGCCCGGACTATAATTAATATAATGGATTAGGCTCAGGTTAGATTTTCCTATACCGGCCGCCGCATTCATCTTCTATTTCAATTTTCTATTTTAATATTATCCAATATTAGCTTGACACAGTATACATTATTTGTCGTTGGTCGTAATGATTTGAATACAAGAGTACCTGCACTTTTTTCTGTAATGGGAAACATTTTTCCAATTTTTGTTAATAATAACGATAATAATAATAATAATAATAATAATAATAATATAGAGTAAAGTTTAATATATTTTCTCCAACTCAACCCGAGGCTAATTCAGACATAAAATTATTTTTGCGAATATTTCTAAAACGAAGGGCGAGCGGCGGTAACATGTATAAAGAAAAAAATTTTCATAACAGTGACCCTTGACAATATATTTCAAGGTCATCGAAATTGGCGAGGAATCGCTAAAGTATATAATTACCATTGAATCTTTATGTATATCTATTACTTTATCATTTTGTGACATGCGTGATAATGCTTCATGAGTTGCGACATTAAACCAGAAAAGTAGAATCTTTAGGAATCGGATACTATTATCTATTCTTGCTAGTCCCTGAGTACATCAGTAAAGATGATAAAAATTTGAAGTATTAATAAAGTTTTAATAAAAAATGATTAAACGAGAAAAGTAAAAGTTTTAGGAATTAGATACTATTATCTATTCTTGCTAGTCCCTGACTACGTCAGTAAAGATGATAAGAACTTGAGGTATTAATAAAGTTTTAATAAAAAATGATTGAATACTTGCCCCTGTGGTATTTTTGTGAAAAAGATGACTAGATCAGACTCTACAAATGTACAAGTGTTCAACTAAATCTGTGATCCGAAGGACTTGCACTCATCTTGTAAGCTAAGCTCATAACAAATAAATACTGTACATCGATATTAAACAAGTTTACGGAATCTGTGTCTTACACTTTTCGTGATCGTATTCTACACATCTCATCTGCATTATTGTGTTTTTATTGTATTGTAATGAAATCTTATTGACGAAATATACAATCGGTCACCATTTTTCTTTGAAAGTAGTAGATAAAACGAAAAATATTGTTATTTAATATTTATATGATTAACCAATAAATAATTAATATTTTTGTGTTAACGGTATTTCAATACTGGTGTTATTTTTTAATTTATTAGTTCATCATTAATTTTCACATAATCATAATAATATATATTGTTTTATACTAACTAGTTACTACTTAATAAGCTTAAAACCATTCGTCGATGGCATTTTAATGGTTTCGATTAGCTACGTTGATATTAACAACGTTATTAGTATATACAATACAATACAGATTGACATGTGCAAAACTATAATACAATCTACATGGATTAATTTTCGCCTAGCGAACTTCGGGCCCATTTGGATTCATACAAACAATTTCTTCCAAAATTGCGAAGTTTCACTTTTAATAAGTAACAATAATAATATTAATACCAGAGTGGGCTTGTAAAATTAACGATATTAAATAAATAACAAATTCAATTAGAAATTTGGTACTGGAAATAGTAAAATTCAGATTTAGGTCAAAATGGAGACCCATATAAGACGGTCCGCCATTACTTGTAACCTAAGAATATTTTTCTAAGTCATCGGAGAAATCTTGCCAATATAGTCATAATATAATACTATCACAAAGCTATGATAAAATTATTTATTTTGCTTATAACAGTTTACGTGGGCCATTCTGTATACGATTGTATGTCAATTTTGTGGTCTAAATCATTTTGTTGTAAGAAATTTGGAAACTGAAAGGTTTGATAATTTATTGTGTAAGAAATAATTTTCTATGTTCGCTAATTTTTTTTCTTCGTACAATACTAACTTCTTACAATTAATATCACTATCATCGGAACAAAAATAGCAGTTAAAAAATATTAAAATGCCTGTATCGACGAATGATGTTAAACTTACAGTACAAATTATGTCACAATAATTGTTACTAATCACTGTTTAATTTGTGTGTTTATTATAGCCGCTTCTACAAATCCATTCGTTGGCGTGAACGTTGGCACGACTGGCACGGGTCCTACAAAGTGGTAGTTACGGAAATTTAAAAATCTAGTATACGTATGAACATTAGATTTCTTGCATAATTTTCCGCGGGGTGGATTTTTGCGTGCATTTACGGACAACGTACTTAATGTTAGTTAGAGAATGTAAACAGTATTAAGTCATTTGAAAAAATTAATAATTGCCAATAACATTTCTATTATTTACATGTTGTAAGAATATTTTAAGATCTTTTTTATAAACATTATTTCTGTTATTAAGTTAAAAGTAGTCGGTATTAATTATTCTAAGTTTTCGCATAACTGTATTTTTGAAACGCTTTCAGAATTAAAAGTGTTTGTTTTTTAAATATTTAGTAACATTTAAATTAAAAGCGTGTGACGAATTAAACTCATTCTTTAAAAAGTTTTCTAATTAAACATACTTTTTTTTCGCGTGGTTTGTAATATATTTTTAATACATTATCAAAAATATTTTAGTATGAGTATCTCAAGGTAACATTTTTTAAATAAATATTTTTCTGTACGTCCTTATCTTATTAAATTATTATTGTAGTTTAAGACCAGTGTAAAAAAAAATAATAATTGGAACTTTTAAAGTTACGAACTTTTTCAACGCTTACGTATCAAAGTTTTCTAAGAAATGTTTACAATTCAAAGTACTTCTATGATCATGTCATTAGAACATTTATATTGTGCTTGAATTTGACTTTTTCGAATGACTTAATCACTGATCCATCTATCGGTAATTAACTCTACAAGCTATCTGTAATTGTAAAGGAATATTGTGCCACCAGCGTGTGTTGAAGAAATTGTGTATTGTGTATTATCAAAATGTTAGGCATGATCATACTGAAACTGATTGACATTATCTCGTCGTAACGCTGGAGAGTTTAAAGAAAGGAATATACAGTATAAGAGGAAACGAAACTGAAACTGACTACTTTATTCTAGTCGCTGAATGAAACGCTGCAGGTAATAATATTCAAAGAGAGTTTAGTAAATTAAAAGAAATAAGAAAAGAGAACTTTATGTGTACGCACAAATCCACCACGTTTCTTACGAAAAGATAAAACATACAGTGACACGAAGGAGTCTCTACATGTAAGTTTCTCCTTCACAGATACTTGAATATTCTCGAAGATATAAATACTGCTAATTATTGAATACTAATATTTAATTATAAAACGTTCGTTTCGTTAATGCATGAGATACATAAGAATCTGTATGTGTATTTTTATGTATATGTATAATATATACATATATACAGAGTGAAGCACATCGACCATGACAAGTGAATGTCTTCGAAACTAACAAGAACATAAAAAAAAAATATCTTTAGAATAATCTCTGTTTCACTTGTATCTAAAATTCTGTGTGGTGTTTAATACTATACATTGACACTATAAAACAATTTTTTTTTCTTGGCTCATATATATATATTTTCATAAAGCAGTTGAATGTTTAAAATAGTTTCTCATTCGTCACGTTCCTCTGGAATCTGGAGTGACTCAGCTCTGCATATAAAAAAAATTTGATTACAATGTGTAGCTTACAAAAACGTTTTAAATTTCTCTAATAATATTCTTTTTGTAGTATCAATGTTTTCGGAGATATTCATTTATTTCACGGTGTGTGCTTCACGTGGGCATCTGAAAGTTAGGAGACAATCCGAAACATGCAAATTTCTCATGGCGAAAGAAATCGATGAATCTTTTACCACTCGTCTTTCCTTTTATTATTTTAAAATCTTTTATTAGTAGCCACTAATATGAACGTTGAGGAGTGAACAAATTTTTTATTTATCATCGTTAAAATATATTTTCTACGAATTATCTCTACTGTATTCACGTTTAAGGAATATACAGCATATACAGTGTGTTAAATGTACAGTTTCTTTTTTTAATTTTAACAAAACATGCAAGAATATGAAATATCCTATTCTTTTGATCCGCGCTGTACATGTTCAGGAAAATACAGCGCGCGCGTAATATTACGAAAACAAATTTTGCCAGTAACACGTCACTCACGTTTTCATTTCAGCTTCAATATGGTAGTGACAAATAAACGAAATATTTTCCTGGTTAGTTTTCCTTGTTACTGTTACCGAAGTTGCGTTAGATTTTAAACGTATATTAAAGTCTGTGAATTCAGAATACGTACATAGGGTAGAAAGCGTAGAGTAAATTAGTTGAGAAACATTGGAATATCGATGATACGTGTTAGACGATTATAAACTTTATTTACACCTGACTATTTTTATCATATGTTTTAATCGCTTACTGTACATTTCCCATGGATTCTGAACCACGATAGACCGACTACTATTATAGCAATGAAAACTAGAAAACCAGCTTTGAAGACTATTACTACATCGATGTTAAAACGTCAGTGATGAGTGAAATAAAAATTCGTTTTCGTTTAAGTTCATTAAATTATTCAGAACCCCGACGATTGCGTGACAACCTCGTTCGTTGCATTGTGTTGATGTATGGACAGGATGGAGTTGGATATGGATGTGACAAGTAGTAATTAATAAATCGTAGATATTGGAGACGTATCTACTGGGTAAGTGGAACTCCATATTGAATTGATTGTCTCGATTATTACATGATACTTGACAGTTGTAAGAATTATCAACCTCGTTTTTCTGAAATTATCGAAGATCCACCGAGTGATCAGAATTGCGTTATATTACAGTGTCTTTTTTATATGCAGTTAAACAAACGAAAAGGTGTTTTCTACTGTAGTTGAAAACGAGGACATTTATATGATTGCATGGTAAATATATTTGAAATCATAAAACTAGAAGCAGTATGTGGTTTTATTCCGCGGTGTTACGATCAGTGGAGAATGTATTAGAACAATTAACGCGATGGTACACAATGTATGTATACGTGCAAGTGCATTCGTGACTGATATTTAAAGAACAACCATCGAAAATTGAGCTCCGACAGTTTAGCTGTTTTTTCTTCCAAAGACGAAGCTATAGATTAAATAACCGTAAACGATTTTTCGATTTTCCTTTGTCACAGGCAGTTTATATGTTTCGGTTTGTTCCATAATTTGAAAACAACCTGTGCCATAAAAATGGCTTCAGATAACGGAAAATGGTTGCTTCGTTAATTAATCATGTTCTTAGTGTAGTTTTATTTAACATGATAATTAATGTAATAGAGTTTCCCAAGGAAAAGCTGATTTATTAATTTGTACAGTTATAATTAAATTAATCAGCTTTATATCTAGTACTCTCTCAGCGCTATAAGAGATGATTAATGTACATACGAAATTTTGATTCAAGACAAAACTGTCAATCTTTATTAGGATGATGTGAAATTAATGCAAAATATCAACATTTACTTGACATTTGTTTATTGTATCAAAATCAAGATTCATTGATACTAATCTAATCGAACTATGATACCTTGGATGGAGTGATAGGACAGTAAATATAAAGCGACATTTCATGATTCTACAAATAAATGTAATACTGTTAGTCCAAATTATTTTGCAGATAAACAATAGCGAGCAGTTTTTAATCTATTTAATATGTTTACAAGAGTGTTATTTACCGTTTTTTTTTAGAATTAAGATGTTTCTCAATTTTTTTGCCCAGTGTTTGTTCGGTTAAGGTTGAATATTCAAAGATGAACAGTGATTTTAATCGCAAGTAGCTCTAAATGCAATTACAATAATTAAAATTTTCATTAACATTGATGTAAAGATATATCTACTATAACTCTATGTTATTTTATATATAAACATTTTACGTGTTATTATGGTTATAATGTGTACTTCATAGGAAGTATTTATGAAGTTCCAGATAGGTATTCTAGTAATTTTTGCTACTCCATTACAATGTATAAATTTATAAGTATTTTATGCCGTAAAAGAATTAACAGAATCATTGTCTATCGTTATTATTAAGCTGCTGTAGAATAGAAACAATTCACTTTTGCGTTTTATAAGTTTATTCTTGGGAATTGTTTTAATATAAATTTTATGTTACTTGTAATTTTTTATGATATCATTCTACGTAAAGACTGTGGATATTTACTGTCTAACGTGAACAAAAAGCTCATCTATTCTTGAGAAACACGCTAATATATTGTTAGTAGCGTGTAATATAAGTTGCTGGAATTTGGACCATTTCACAAACTTTCAATCGTCCGTGGAAAATTAAATATTAGCAAGGAATGGCAAAAAAGAAAATAAACTTGGACCAGTGGTACTTTTAAACTTGGGCCATTCGAGAAATCTTTTTAAAGAAAAATTACAAAAATATACAGATATGAAATAAATCAAACAATATTAAATATAGTATTTAATTTTCTCGAGATTCCTGAGTTGTAATTCGTTTGAGCTATTTGAGATAAGAAAAGTGATATTTAAACAATTTTTATTTATCTAGGTCTGTTATAAATAAAAATGAATAGAAAATTCATAGAGGATTTAAAAAAAATTTTTATTCATGTAATCATGGTGCATAGCAGATTGTAGTCCAGACAATAATAATTTATTATTTACAGTAAAATGGTTATAGATCTGTCGATCTGTTGTTTAAATATTCGTTAACTAATTGTTTAAATAGTTAAAATTGTTTGTTTGTTTAAATTTGAAATTGTAACACTGGTCAAACGTAGACAACGGTCCAAATAAGGTAATTTCCCTTTACTGACCAAAACATTACCTTTTATTTGAATATATAATTGTAAAACCAACAATATTGTGATTGCATTAATTTTACAGCACCATAATATTAACTGATAAGGATGATGCTAAAAAGCTCTTCGTTACATTTAATTTGTAGTTAAAGTGAAATATATTAAAAAGTTATTTACTCTTCTAATTATGGAAGCCTACTGTATCTGTACATATTTATATAATGTACTATGAAGTAAGATATAACTCGAATCATGCAAGATAATACGCTTAAAACAGATCACTTAAATGTCACCTCCATCTTTGGAGATACGGACATGTGTTTTACATAAAAATTGTTCGATATGAGGACAAACACCGTGCGTTTGTAAATGTTTATTTGTAGGTGGTGGCATCAAGAATATTGAAAATTAATGATCACTGTTTGTATAGAACAACCAAATTTTTACATTCATAGTGCATTTAGTA